AAAAAGGCTCTCCTAACTTCAAAAAAAAGGCCCTACTAACTGCAAAATAAAAAAAAAATAGACCTCTTAACTTCAAAAAAAAAAATCCTACCTTGTTCTTACCTCGGTCCTCAGGCAGCAGCAGGCTCTGCACAGGCAAGCTCGTGACTCATCTGATCACACCCGAGACTGAGAGGAGTCGAGAGACAGAGAGAAGGAGGGTAGTCGGAGAGTGCAACGCACATTCCACACATGCACACTGCGGGCCCGGACGAGTCGGCTGCTAAGCAACAGGCAGCGGCAGCAAAAACACCGGGCCGGCCGGATAAATGTTTTCGGCGGGCGGCATGTGGCCCGTGGGCCGTAGTTTGAGGACCCCTGGTCTAAGAAACCGCCTGGAATGCCAGAATCCCTCCACTATAGTGAACTTTGGATCTCTCAGATCAAAGTGCTAATAAATGCCATAGGACATAACTGAGGGAAGGAGGGGCTGCCTTGGAACTTGGCTCACTGATAGCCATGGGCTGATAGGATGCTGATGCAATAGACACCAGGCATGGCCCTTAACTGCAGAAGCCAGGGGTTCATAACCTCAGAGTCAGAGCGGCAGCCAGGGGATCTGACCAGAAGAGAGCTCCAGAAATTGTGAATAGAACTGAGTTTTCCTAGGAGGAAAAAAGTACCGCTTCATATGTATAATCTGAAAAGAATGAGAATGAGTAATCAGGAGAATGAGGAAGATGGCCACCCAATGAAAGGTCACAATTCCTTTCCTGGTTTCCATGCCTGAATCAGTGTTCAGAAGCAGAACCCAGTGACTGAAAGGTGGCCAGGTTCCCAGGGAGAAGGACCCACAATACTATGGCAAGAATGAACTATAATAGTTTCTCCGATCCTTCTCCACAGAGATCTAGAATATTCACTTGGATGATAGAACACTGGGACATTTTGATGACTGTTGGGCACAAGGTCAGAGGTCAACAAGTACACTGAGACCTGAAGCCCCTTCATGCCCCTGGTTAGAGTGAGAGCAACTGGAGTCCTAGGGTCCAGCCTCCCTGGACCCACTGGTTATCAGTCCCTGCAGGAAGTCATCCATTGTCTTCACTAGCAGAGAGGTGTGGACAAGGATCCCGGAAGGCTGGCGACCCTTGAGCTCTGGCAATGGCCTGGGCTGTGCACCCACTGTTAGTCCAGACAATGGTAGCTGAAGCAACTTCCCCATTTATTATTATGTAAATCCTTGCTGATGGGCTAGTCTGCCTGTTACTGGAAATTGCCTGCCTAAGGGCTATGGGTGTATCCCAAACTAATAAAAGGTTGGTGAGGCCTGAGCACCAGTGGAAGTCCTTCCCCTTGAGTTGGACTTGCCCGCCTGGCCCCCCAATATTTCCAAATTATCTCTTGTCTCTTTCATTTGCATGCAGCCCTCTTCCAGATCCTGAACCCTAAACCACGCAGGACGTGGGGGAAACTTTACACAATTCCCCCTAATCCCCAAATGTACAGTTGGGATTGGGAAGTTGGGCTAACCCTCATATTGCATCCTTGTGATCCTTCCCGACTATGATCGCTCTCATCTGCAGAGTAAGAGCTATCACAGTAGGGAAGGCCAAGTGGGAGCATCTGAAACTGCACCATGCCCCCTGCCCCCAGGCCAATGTAGTAGCCACAAAATATCATGGCATCCTGGGTTGGGGTGGAGGGCAACTGCTAATGCCATTCTTAAGTATAAAAAAGATGAAGAAATGTTGTTCCTACCATATTTCTATTTAACTTGCCAGTGTTGACCCAGAAGCAATTGGATCAGTGGTTCTCAACCTTCTGGCCCTTTAAATACAGTTCCTCCTGTTGTGACCCAACCATAAAATTATTTTCGTTGCTACTTCATAGCTGTTATGTTGCTACTGTTGTGAATCGTAATGTAAATATCTGATATGCAGGATGGTCTTAGGCGACCCCTGTGAAAGGGTCATTCGACCACCAAAGGGGCCGTGACCCACAGGTTGAGAACCGCTGAATTGGATGGGTCCTAGAGAAAGACTGCGGACTACTTTAAGGAAGTGGAACCCCTTTACACCTGCTGTGCCTGATGTGGTGGCTTGGCTAGAGTGGAGTTATGCAGCCTCAGGTACATGACTGCAGCCATCCATTTGGCAAATGCATTCTTTTCTACCCCAATCAGGAAAGAAGATCAGAAATAGTTCCTATTCCCACGGAATGGATGCCACAGTTTTGTGTTCACTCTTCAGTCTTCTGTCCTAATACAGTCCGAAGAGAACCAGAGCATTTGGACATCCCACATCACATCACCTCGATCCATCACATTGACGATGCCATGCTGCTCAGGCAGGATGAGAAAGAGGTGGAGCACACACTGGCTGCGTGAAATAACACATGTGCCCCAGAGGGTGGGAGGTAAGTTCTATGAAGATTCTGTGACTTGCTGCTTCACTAAAGATGCTACAGGCCTAGTGGCTAGCAGCGTTCTGGCACATTTTCTCCGAAGTGAAAGACCAATTGCTGCATCTCGGATCCCTTGCTAGAGAGAAGGAAGCACAGAGTCTGTTAGGAATCCTTGGGTTCTTGAGGAAACACATTCTACACCTAAGAATACTACTGTTGCCCAGGTACTGTGTGACACGGAAGGCTGCCAGCTTTGAGTGGGGCTCAGAGAAGGAAAAAGCTCTGCAGCAGGTCCAGGCTGTGATTCTAGCAGCCCTTCTGCTTTCACTATACAATCAGGCAGAGCCTAGAGCAGTGGTCGGCAAACTGCGGCTCGCGAGCCACATGCAGCTCTTTGGCCCCTTGAGTGTGGCTCTTCCACAAAATACCACGTGTGGGCGCGCACGTACAGTGTGATTGAAACTTCGTGGCCCATGTGCAGAAGTCGGTATTTTGTGGAAGAGCCACACTCAAGGGGCCAAAGAGCCGCATGTGGCTCGCGAGCCGCAGTTTGCCGACCACTGCTATACAGTCAGGCAGAGCCTAGAGCAGTGGTTCTCAACCTTCTGGCCCTTTAAATGCAGTTCCTCATAAAATTGTTTTCGTTGCTACTTCATAACTGTAATGTTGCTACTGTTATGAATCGTAATGTAAATATCTGGTCTTAGGCGACCCCTGTGAAAGGGTCGTTTGACCGTCAAAGGGGTCGCCACCCTCAGGTTGAGAACCGCTGGCCTAGAGTATTGGAGGTGTCAGATGGGAAATGATGTAGTTCGACATTTATGGCAAGTTCCAGCAGGAGAATCACAATGCCATCTCCTGGGATTACTGAACAAGGTTATGCCAACTGCAGTGAAGAATTACACTCCTTTTGAAACACAGCTCCTAGCTTGCTGGTGGGCACTGGGAGAGATCATGATTGACCGTGGGTTCAGAACTGGCCATCACAAGCTAGGCCCTACTGGGCACATGAAGTCGTAAAGCCAGGCAGGCCCAGCATCAAAGCCATCAGAAGAGGAAACTGGTACATCAGGACTCATGAGCTGAATGATAAGTAGCCCAGATCTCCACGTCACTCATTACAGTTGTACTGGCACCCCTCCTCCAACTTATATCCTATGGATGTATGAGGGGGGTCCCACATAAACACCTAAACAAGGAAAGAAAGACCAAACTCAAGTTGTGGATAGGTCATCTCACTATGTGGGCACACGCTAAAAACGGATGGTGGCTATATTACAGTCTCACTCCTGCAGGGAAGGGCATGGGAAACATTGGGGAGGGAAAACCTCCCCCGGGGAGGGGGGGTGGCTTTGGGAAGTGCACCTGGTCACCCACTTTGTATAGATGGAGAATAGCCCAAAGTTAGAACATTTGTAGACCTATGGTCAGTGACGAGTGGCCTGGCTGTGGATGGGGGTCCTGAAAGAAAAAGATTATAAAACCAGAGACAAGGAGGTCTGGAATGGAGGACTACAGGAGTGGACACAAAGTGGGAAGTTGTTTGTATCGCATGTTTAGGCCTGTAGCAAGTATCTCTTACAAAAGATGTGGCAGCTTTGACAAAATAATTTGGCCCGTTAATACAGCTAGTCTTTACCAGAGCCCCCTCTCCCCCAACTGCTGCATGATGGGACTTAAACAAAGAGGACATGGTGGCAGAGATGGAGGTGATGCAAAAACCTAACAGCATGGACTGTCATTGACACAAATGAATATAGCTATGGCCACCTCTGAATGGCCAGCCTGCTAGTAATAAAGACCCATGCTAAACTTTTATATTCCTTAAGGAGGCCAATAGGCTACTTGGTGACCACTTGACCATATTGGGCCCCTTTTTTCCTGGTAGGGCCAGTAGTTTACTCTCATAGGAATAGACGCTGATTCCAGATATGGGGTTGCCTTTCTTGCCTGCGTGGCCTCACTAGCACCACTCTCTGGGGGCTTGAAGATCACCTGGTCCACAAGCAAGGAATCCCATATAACATGGCATCTGACCAGAGGACTTTCTC